GTAATCTCATAGGCCGTTGGAGAGGCACTAAGGACTGGCTGGGCATCCTGCAAATGATCCTGGGAAGCAGCACTCTAACCTTGGGCATGGACCACCTTGAAATGGCTTCAATGTTCACTTCCCTAAAATGGGGATTATAGGTGGTTTTATTTTTTTTAAGATTTTATTTATTTATTTATTTGACAGAGAGAGAAAGAGAGAGAGTGAGAGAGGGAACACAAGTAAGGGGAGTGGGAGAGGGAAAAGCGGGCTTCCTGCAGATCGGAGTGCCTGATGGGGTACTTGATCCCGGATCCTGGGATCATGACCTGAGTCGAAGGCAGACGCTTAACGATTGAGCCACCCAGGCAGCCTATGGGTTGTATTAAAGGTGAAATGATATCATGCATGTAAACAGCTATTATCATTAGCACTCATTAGAGACTATTAGTTAATGTTGGTGGATAGCTCCAGTGGATGGAGTTTGGCAAAGAATGGAGAAGCTTGATTTCTGCCCCTACAGAGGCTATACCAGGGTCTCCTGACCCCTTGTGGTTTAGGGGAAGGGTGTGGGGATAGAATGGGAGAAGGGCTTTGGCCCTGGTGAGCCTGCCCTGGAGGGTGGGACTTCTCATTTGAGCAGGACCATCTCCCACAGCCTGATGGGGGTTGAGTTTGTACACAACCTGAAGACATCGATACTCTTGAGTCTTGGGATTTGCCAGGTAGACCTGGGAGAAGAGCTGAGAAATTCTGAGCCAGGCTGCTTGGGTAAGCACCGTCACTGATTAAAGTAGTGACCACTGAGCCTCCGCTTTCTCATCTGTAAAATGGGGACAGTCCTGGGAGTGATCTCGGAGGGTTGAAAATCCGATTAAATAATCAGTCTCATAGTGCTAGGTACTGTGTTAATATGTACATGTCTCAGTGAATTCCCACAGTAATTCTATGATGTAAGGTTGCACAGCTACTAAGGAGGCAGGCAGGGGAAGGGGCAGCATAGGCGCGCCTTAGAATGCAGAGTTGAACTTCAAGTCACCTGCCTGCCATTAGGATGAGAAAACCGGCTCAGGGAGGGGAGGTAAGCCGCCCAAGGTCACACAGATAGTCTGTTTGAGGGCCAGAGCATCATCCCTGGTCTCCCAGCGGCTCTACCTGGGATTTGACACTCCCTCCAAACCCCAGCCATGCCCCGATGGGCACATTTAAGGAAGGTGGCTTTGCTGGGTCGTCACCTCCAGTAGCAGGACGGCGCCCACATTCCCTGAAAACGGGGGCGCGGGTGTTGCTGAGCGCCCGCCTGTAGAGCTACCCTCGTGTCCCCACCCAGCCGGGGGCGAGGGGGCGGCCGTGGGCGGCAGCGGCGTCCCCTGGCGCTGGCCGGCAAGCTTCCCTGTCGCCGCCGCGGCCTCCCTCCTTCCTGGCGGCCGCCGCGCCGCGCGGGTGTTCAGTTTCAGCGCGGGGATGAGCGCAGGCTGCGCCCGGCTCTCCGAGGAAGGAAGGAAGAGAGAGAGGGCTGCACGGTCCTCGGCCGGGGCCTGGCAGCGCCGTGGAGGGGGCTCGGCTCCGGTCGCCGGGGCTGGGCGCGCGTCGATCCTGCGCTGCCGAAGGGGACGCCCGGGAGTCGCGCTGCCGCCGCCGCCGAGGGTAACCGCGGGCGCGCCGGGCGGGGCCGGGCGGGCGTCCCTGCGCTGCGCCCCGCGGGCCCGGGGCTGCCCGGGAGCCCCCGCTCCTACCGCGAGCGCCGGGGCGGGGTGTGGGTCGCCTCCCGCCCGCGGGCAGCGCAGCCGGCGTCGCGGAGCAGCTCTTTGTGTCTCCCCGGGCTGCGTGTAAGTGTGTAGTGTGTGTGCGCGCGCGCTCGGCGCCTCCAGCCCCGTCTCCCGGTGCCAGCTTTCTCCAGGTTACCCCGCCAAGACCTTTGCCCCAGGGGATGCTGCCAGAGCTGCCGGGGAAGTTTCGCTAAGTTGGAAGGAAAAGGGCGGGGTGGGGTCGCCCCGCTTCCGCGGATCCCAGGCAGCGCCCCAAAGTTGGTGCTGCAGGTGCAGCGCCCCCTCCTACCACGCTCCTCCCAGCCAACCCGGGCCTTGGGAGGCGGGAACCCCCCCCAGAGGCTTAGTTCGGGGGCTCCTGATTCTCATCCCCCAACTTGGAGGGTGCACTCCTGCACGGAAGCCACCGGGGAGTGGGGGGGGGGGTGTCGAGGGGCGCGGCTTTCCGGGCAAGGGGCAGCCGAGGCGGAAGCCAGGCTGGCTGGCCGGCGGGAGAGCTTAGCGGCGGTGGCACCGAGCCGGGGTGCCCATGTGACTGCGGTGTGCTTTGGAAGAGGAAGCTGTAGAGGTCAGTGCAAAGGCGTCACGCCAGAGCGAGCGGGAGCAGGAGTGAGGGGGGAGACCCGGAATGAGCGCGGGGTGGGCGGGAGAGCGGGGGTGGCGGCTGCAGGGGCCCGGACAAAGCGGCCCTGTCACAGCCACCCTAGCCGCTCCAAAGCCTGCAATTGCCCGGCGGGAGGGGCGGCCCGGCCCGGAGGCCAGGAAATGAGGGACATGGGAGGAGGGGCCTCCCTAGGAGAGGCGGGGCTGGAAGTGGCGCCCCCAAGCTCCGAAGGGCCTCAGAGGATGCTGGAGGGTGACTGGGAGGACAGATCAGACGCAGGCATAACTTGGAGAACTTTCCTTGCACACCGCTGCCGCAGCTCCTAGTGTTCACGTCCACGCGTGCTGGGGAGGTTGGGGCTGGGGGCAGGAGGTTGGGGGGTAGTGACCAGGCCAGTCTGGGGCCTGGTGCCCAAGAGCCAAGCTCCTCTCCTCTCCTCTGCCGGCACCTGGGTGGTTATCCAGCTGCAGACTAAAGGAAGCACATCTCCTCCCTCCACCCCACAAACACTTAAATTGTTTTCCCTAGGCTGTTCTCTGCTGAGGCCTGAAGGAGGTGGAAACCAAGGTTAGATTAAAAAAAGGAAAGAAAAGAAAACCCAGAGGAAGAGGTGGTTTTAGGAAAACGAGGACTAATATTTTGAAGTGGTGCTTGGAGAGGAGGCCGGTGTGGTCCGTGGGGGTGGGGTGGGTTGGGTTAGGGCTTTACCCTCACTCCGCACCCCCAGTTCCTTGGAGAGAAGAGGGTCACTGGTGTCTTCAGCCTGGGGAACCTGGCGGGTCGCATGGGGCAGAGGCGGGAGGGAGCGAGCCCGAGCCTGAGCTGGGACTTGAACAACCCCAGCGCCAGCCGGGCAGCCCGCGCCTGTCTTCGTGACAGGGCTGCGTCCTGTGCTGTCAACTACACCCCTCCGATGGGGTTGCTAGGCAGCGGGGCTCTGATGTGGGGGAAGGCCTTCTGATTTGTCAGCCTCCTGCAGACACATGGTTAAGGCTCCTTCCAGCCTATCCGGAGGAGGGACGCGGGGCACGCCGCCTGCATACTCTGCCGAGCCCCGGGTCCACCTGAATGTGAGGTGCAAAAGGCAGCCAGAGGGAGGGGGCGCTTGGAGCCCACCAGCCTCCTAACCAGCTCAGCCCCACGCCCCCCCATTATCTCCACTAGGGCTTGCTGCTGGCTCCTCCCTGTCTGTCCCTGCCCCATTCCTCCCCTCTTCCCCAAACCATGGAAAAGCAAAGTGCAGCAGGGAAAAGAGGTCAGTGGGGTAAGCATGTGCGTGTGGGCCTCTGGAGTGCCAAGGTGCATGGGCATGAGCTGTGGGGAGGCCTCCCCATCCGTGCCGCTGGTGGCTCTTGTGGGAAGGGGTGGGAGGGAGAGAGGGGGCCCTGACATCGCTGTCTGCCAGGCCTGGACTTGGAAGCCTGCTCTGTGGGCCCCCCTCGCCCCCCTTAAGCTCTATCCGCCCCTAGGAGGGCAACATGTCAAGGGAGGAGGGAGGAGACTGGTGAGTTCCTGTAAGGAAGGGTGGGTTATCTGGCTGCTGCAAGAGCTCAGAAGGGGGGCTGCTGGCGGGTTCCTTCTCCTGAACGCACCTCCCCGGCCCAAGCCTCTGAGGCCCAGGTTCTCCCCTGGGCCTGTCCCCCACCCCACCCCCAGCATCCTCTCTTAATCCTTTCACTTTTTTTTTTTAGCAGTTATATGGAGATAGAATTCACATACCATTCATTCATTTAAAGTGTACAGTTCAGCGGTTCTGTATGTTTACAGAGTTGTGCATTCACGGTCAAATTCAGAACATTTTTATCACCCCAGAAGGAAACCGGGTGCCCATGAGCAGCCGCTCCCCAGCCCTGCACCCCACCCCCGCCCTCAGGCCCTGGCCACTCCTCTACTCCGTGTGTCCCTAGGTTTGCTTACTCGGGCCCTTTCATATCTGTGGGATCCTACACGGTCATCTTTGGTGGCTGGTCGGAGCCTGTGCTTGGAGCTCACTGCTCACTTCTCAGTCCGTTGCAGTTTGTCCTGCTGTTTCACTCCCCCTGTGCGGGGTTCCGTTCATGTCCCTTCCCAGGGGGCAGGGGGCTGACACATTCTGACACACTGCTCTGAGGGTGGTGCCTAGCTCTGGGCTGGACCGTTGATGGGCTCTCAGTAAACTCTTGCTGAGCGAACGGAGAGGAGAATGGGGACTGGTAATTGGCAAGCTTTGCAGGTGGTTTACACTGAGAATTCCAGGGGTCCAGCTGCTGCAAAGGAGACTGGCGTCTTGGGAATAATGTAGGGCCGGGCGCTGGGAGGGAGTAGAAAGGGAGCCTCTCCTCCCTGGGGTGGGCGTGGGGGTGGGGCAGGAGCTGAAGCTGCCTGTGAGGAAGGAACCCAGTGGCCTGTGGGTTGCCAGCTCTCTTCTGGGGACTTGAAAACCCAGATGCCTCCCCCAGCCTTGGGGGCAGGTGGCCAATGCTTGAGATGTGTCATCTGATCACAGGGGCTTCCCCTAGGGGGAACTCCGCTTAGAATTGGGTTTAAAAAGAAAAGAAAAGTCCCCAGTGTTAGCATTTATAAAAGGGCAGCAGGTCAGGCACCTCCAGTGATTCAGGCCCTGAATGATTTTTCCTGCTGTTCCCCCCCGCCACACTTCTGTGCCGCAGGTACTGTCTGATGAGCGTGAAAGGCTGTTTCACTGACTTCCACATCGACTTCGGAGGCACTTCCGTTTGGTACCACGTTTTCCGGGGTGGGAAGGTGAGTTGAGCCGAGTCTCCTCAACTTCTGCACATCCCTGCCTGTTTCCTTCTTAGAGGGGCTCGCTCCGCTCTCCCCGCTGTCCTCCCCGCCCTGTGCATCCAGTGGCTCCTGCCCCGCCCACTTTCAAGACCACCTCGCACTCCCTGTCTTCTCCTGGAGGGGAGGATTCCACTCAGCCCTTCTGCATCACATCCGGTTACCTGTCCTACACCTGCTCCCCCAGTCCAGTGTTCCAAGCACCTCCGGCCAGATCAGAACTCCAGCTTTGGTGCCCAAGAGCTCCCGGCGTTCACTTTGTGCGCTGTGGTTTCCAGCCCCAGCGCGGAGACCGTTTAACTTAAAAGTCTAGTTGCCGGTACCACCTGCCTCCAAGAACATTTTATCTGAGGGACAGACATCGCCCAGAGAGAGGAGGTGGTGCGTGCTTTCAGGATGTTACTGCTGCTTTTGCTTCTGAGTGTGGCCCGCACGGACGTGGGCGCTCCTTCAGCGGACGCATGTCGCCCTGCTTGTCTGGGTTCGTGCGTGCGTTTGTTTTAACCAAACATGTTGGAAGAAATTCTGGGTAGGAAGTCATCCTACTTGGTTCCAGATGTTTTTCCTCCCTCTGCAGAGTGAGCACAGGCTGAGTTTATTTATTGGACCATTTTTTCATACAACTTAGGAAATTCCCTTCCTCTCCTTCCCTTACCTCCCCAGTAAGCTGTGGCTCGGGAGAAAGAATGTTCCACCCAGTCGAGGAACTCTACCCACCCTGATGTTTTAGCGGGAATGGAGAGTCCCTAGAGGCAGGCAGAGGGTGTTCCAGAAGGGTGACACAGCCTCCCCGCCATCCCAGAGACCCTTTGGGCCTGGGCCTGGAGGCGGTCCCCTATCCTCCCCGCTTCCAGGCAGGTAGGGCTGTCTCCTTGGGCTGTGGCACAGCCTGGAAGGAATCCAGGACTTTGGCCCGGATCTTCAGCTGACTGCCTTCTTTTCCTCCCAAGATCTTTTGGCTGATTCCTCCAACCCTGCACAATTTGGCACTATACGAGGAGTGGGTGCTGTCAGGCAAACAGAGTGACATCTTCCTGGGAGACCGCGTGGAGCGATGCCAAAGAATTGAGCTGAAACAGGGCTACACGTTTTTCATCCCTTCCGGTAGGTTCCGGCAAGGCTGGTGCCGGGCTCTCCCTCGGCCCCTGGCTCTCCTGTGGCCTCAGCCAGGGTTTCGGGCCAGGCGACAGGGTTCTGTGGTTCTCATGGCCACTGGGAGTCCCTGAGAGAAGCAGGCCTCGGGCTGCAGGGAAAGTAGCCCCCGTCTCTCTCACATCTAGCCTGTGTCTCCCTGCCTATGGGCTAGAATTCACTCTTGGGAAAAAGCCTGGTGTCCTTCCTCAGGGGAAGGTGAGTGGCTCCCCCAAGACGTACTGTGGAGATTCCTGTGTGACGGGGTGATGTGGTACTGTGGGGAGGGGGGTGGCTTCACCCCCTTAAAGGAGGAATTGGGTTGTTTTACCCAAAGAAGCAATGTATGGTAATGGCAGTCCCGGCTAGGTTCTGGGGAAGGGCGGACCCCGGAGTGGGGGGTCTTCTAAGGGTGCCTGAAAGCCTAGGGAATGGGCAGAGGGGAATGTAGCTTTGGGGAAGGACCCAACGTGGCAGCCTCCTGCAGCACAAGGTGAAAAGTAGTCGAGGTCAATGTCCGCTCTTGTACTTGGAGTCCCACCCCCCCACACACACACAAAAAAGAAATCAAGAAAAGAAAAAAAAATTGTGGCTGCAAGTATAGTGGGGGGCAGTAGTTCAGAGCACCGGACCCGGAGCCAGACTGAAAGGCCTTCGTTTGAATTTCAGCTCTGGTGCTTATGAGCTGTGAGTTTACGGGAGTGAGTTAAGCTCTCTGTGCCTCGGTGTTCTTGTCTGTAAAATGGGAGTGAGACTTCCCGGGGTGGTAGTGAGGACCAAGTGAGCTGAAACCTCCATGCCTCAGCTCTCTGGTGATGGACTGAGGGCTTTTGGGCAGCTACAGGCTGAGGCACCAGTGAGTATGACAGATGCCCTAGGGGTCAGGGAGTGCAGTTTTTGGTGGCATTAACGGTAACATTTTACCCAGGATGAGGGAGGTGACAGTCCTGCTGTATTAAGTGAGGGGGGTCAGGTCACATATAGGAGGTTGTGCTCCTTTTGATCACTATACTTTGGAGAATGAGTTGACCTGGATATGGGAGTCTGGATGTCACACCAGGTGAGATGAATTTGAAGGAGGAATTGGATGGTTTGATCCGGGGAAGTAATAGTGAATGGGAACAGCTGTCAGCTGGTTGAAAGATCTCCTGGAAGAAGAGGTACAGCCCAGTGGTGGTATGATTTGCTCTGCTAGGTAGTGAGTTCCCTGTCACTGGATGTATACAAGCAGAGGCTATGTATATGACTGTGCTAAGGAGCCTGCAGGGAATTTGCCACTGAGTGAGTGGGTCTCGAACCTTAGGAGTATCCTTTGAAGCAACTAAGATCCATTGGATGGAGAATCTGGTCACACTTAGGTTTCTGAGAGTGGCGTTTGAAGCTGGCCTTGGGTCTGGACATGAAGCACTAATGTCAAGTGAAGAGGGGGCCGTTTTGGTAGCATCTCCCACCGAGGAGATGGGGTCTGCACACTTGGGCTTTTCCAGAAAGTTGAGCAGAAGGCAGAGATTTCACTACTAGAGAAACTGGGGGTTTGGAAGTGACAGGGTTTAGTGGGGGTGACTTTGTTACCATGGCCCCAGGTCCATCCTCAGACTTGGGGAGGGGAGGGACCCCTCCTTGGGACAGGAAGGGGTTGCGCAGTGGGTGGGCAGAGTGGCACAGAGACCTCTTAGGTGTGTTCAAGCCACTCTTCATGGGGGTTAGCCATGGTGGATGCAGGGGAACCCTGTCACGTTCTTGGCCTTGCTGCTGACTCTTGTTGTGACCTGGGGCAGGTCTCGTCCCCTCTCTGTGCCTCAACCATCCCATCTGTACAATGGGAGCAGGATGGCGCTGAACTCTGGAACCTTCCAGGTGCCTCCCAACCTGGTCCCACTGATTGCAGGCCTCCTGACCTCCCTGGGAGGACTCCAGGCCTTCTGCACAGCTGGGAGGTGGCTCATTGCTTTCCCTCAGTCCTGGTTGAGAGGGGCGTTCATTTTGGTGACTTAACAGGTTAGAGAAAGTCTTGAGAGGCGGCCTCTGAGTCCCAGCAGGGGTGTGACTGTCTGTTGAAGGCAAGAGGAGGATTTGAACCACAGCAGTAGGTTGAGTTAGACCCCAGCAAAGACTCCTGGCCCTGAGGGCTGTGAGCGAGACACCAGGATGTTCAGGAAGTGAAAAAAGGACAGTTAGAACTTGTCACCTTCACAGAGGCAGGGGGTACATGTGGTTCCCAAGCACTGATTTCTGCAGGGACCAATGAAATTAAAAAAAAAAAAAAAAAAAGAAAGAAAGAAAAAAGTTAGGAGTTTATTGTTACAAACTTGTAGTTTTACTAAAGATGGGCGTTAGTTTAAAAAAAAAAAAAAAAAAAAAAAAACCTGGCATATACTACTGCTGATTTTCACAAATAGGAGGTGATCCCGTTACTAAAAAGGTTGGAAATCCATAATTTTGGAATAAAGGATGGTGGTTTATATTTGATGGTTTTGAGTTTATGACAGTCTGTGCCGTCTTCCTTTTTCTCATTTTCTTGCCATCCCAGTGAAAACTGAAGGACCAGAGTTCGCCATCGAGGAAGTAGTCGGGCACCTGGGGATGCTCTCCCGCGTCCACACGCCCTGAGCTGTGGGCAGACACACAGCTGGGGGTTGGGGGAGTTGGAGTGGCTTTGGGTGGAGAGTGGAGAGCCAGCCTTGGGGAACAAGGCCTGTCTGCATGTGGGTTTTTCTGTGTCCGGAGTAGAGAATCTAATTCTGGCATTTCTCACTTATGACAATGATTTTTGTCCCCACAGTGTGACCTTAGACAGGTGTCCTCCTACCTCATGCTGGCCTCATGTGTCCCTGTGGGTCATTCAGCAGGTCTTCAATTCTTTTTTTTTTTTTTTTTTAATATTGTATTTATTTATTTGATAGAGAGACACAGCGAGAGAGGGAACACAAGCAGGGGGAGTGAGAGAAGGAGAAGCAGGCTTCCCACCAAGCCGGGAGCCCGATGCGGGGCTCGATCCCAGAATCCTGGGATCATGACCTGAGCAGAAGGCAGACGCTTAACAACTGAGCCACCCAGGCGCCTCCAGCAGGTCTTCAATTCTGAAGGCTAACCGGGAGGATGCTGGGTTGGGAGGGTTTTTAAATGTTACAGTAACTTTGTGAGATGCGATTTAACTCTTCCTTCTTGTGTCTGGGGTGAAAAGCTGGGTAATGGCTGTGCTGCGGGGGTTCGTGGTTCTCAGGACTCATTCTTAGGTGGTCCTGGAAAGCTGCCTGGAAGAGGAAGACTTGAAGGTGGCCGAGGCCTCACCAGGACACACAGTCAGGGTCAGGAGTGGCTGGCTGGTCACCCAGATTCAGCCTGATCGTGAGGTGGATGGGAAGCTAGAGGTGGAAATCATCCCCAAGGAATCAGAGGTCAGATGAACTCAATGACATCTTTTTCCTTCATGTGATGCGTGTGGCCATTGCCCTGACCACGTGGATGGGCTTAGCCTCCTCCGGCCGCGCCAGCTTAGGTGAACTATGGCTAATGATCATAATAACATACTTAGCAAGCTGCAAACATTTTCCATATATTACTTACCTTCTTCATAAGCATATGGGGAGAAACTTATTTCCTCCTGCCTTTTTTTTTAATAAAGAAAGTTCGTGGGGGCGCCTGGCTGGCTTAGTTGGTAGAGCATGCGACTCTTGATCTCGGAATTGTGAATTCGAGCCCACAATGGGTATAGAGATGACTTTAAAAAATGAAAACAAAAACAAAAACGAAAAAAAACCTTAAATAAAGAACGTTCCTGAGGCCCAGAGAGGTAAACAAACTAGTCCAAGGTCACACAGTTAATAAGCAACAGAGCAGGGCAAGAACCCAGGTGTGTCTAGTTTCAGAGTTCACCTGGTTCCCCATTAGTCTGGGAGTCAATAGACTTAGGATTCGGTCTTCCTTCTCAGCCATATGGCTTTGGGAGAATTATTTGCTCATTTAACAAATTTCCTTAAGGGCCTGCTTGGCAGTGTGGAAGGTCCTAAGGAGGCTGTAAGACACATTGTCTCTGTCCTGAATGTGTCTAGCCAGGTAGCAGCCCGGAGGGGAATTCTAACATAGGGAGCTAGAAGGACCCTGGGGTCGGTGGCTTGGACTGGCCTGAAAGTATTTTCCATCCTTGCTTTGTGGTAAGACTCACCCATGACCAAGGGTGCTTGAGTAGCTCAGCATCCAATTCTTTTTTCTTTTTTTTTTTTAAGATTTTATTTATTTATTTGACAGAGAGAGAGAGATCACAAGTAGGCAGGCTGAGAGAGAGGGGGAAGCAGGCTCCCTACTGAGCAGAGAGCCCGACTCGGGGCTCGATCCCAGGACCCTGAGATCATGACCTGAGCTGAAGGCAGAGGGTTTAACCCACTGAGCCACCCAGGCACCCCAGCATCCAATTCTTGATTTTGGCTGAGGTCATGATATCTGGGTCATGGGATTGAGACCCAGATTGAGTCCTGCCTCAGGCTCTGGGCTCAGTGGGGATTCCCCCTCCCACTGCTCTCCCTGCTCTCTGTCTCCCTCTTAAATAAATAAATAAATAAATAAAATCACTTATGACCCCAAATTCATGGGTAGCCCTAGGTGTTTCTTAGACTGGGGCCAGTCTGAGGAAAAAGTAACCTGAAGCTACTTAAGAGTGTTACATGGGTGGCTCAGTTGGTTAAGCCACTGCCTTCGGCTCAGGTCATGATCCCAGGGTGCTGGGATCGAGTCCCGCATCAGGCTCCTTGCTCCGCAGGGGGCCTGCTTCTCTCGCTGCCTCTGCCTGCCTCTCTGCCTGCTTGTGTGTACTCTCTCTCTCTCTCTCTGGCAAATAAATAAATAAAATCTTAAAAAAAAAAAAAAAGTGTTACATGACTTGGGCCTCAGATGACCCACCTGTAAAATGGGTACAGAGCAGGGAGAGGGTAGCAGTGAAGCAGGCTGGATGGGAGGCAGAGGGTGGGTGGGCTTCGGGAGACTGGACGGTTGCTACGCGTCTCCAGCCAGTGAAAGCCAGAGGAGAGCAGCCTGGTGGGACCGTCTTCCTGTTTTTCTAGAGAAGGAAGCAGTTCAGATCGTCTTGTGAAGTGTCTCCATTTTTGTAGCACAGGTGGGTCAAACTAAACATGCTCCTGAGTCTGCCGCAGCCTGTGGCCTGTCAGTTTGAGTCCCTGGTACCACCTGGGAGGTCCTAGAGAGGAGAGGCTGCACCTTGTCAGCTGGTCTGCCCAGCCTGGAGCCTGGCTCAGCTCAGGGAGTTCATGAAGGAAGCAGGCCATGGCCCTTTGTGAGGTGCCCCCAAGTTCTGTGACTTTTGGGTTTACCCCTACGGCAGCCACAGAGACAGACAAATGTGGATGGCAGGGAGGGAGGGGGACTTCGGTTTCTGAATCCCGAGTGTGTGGGTTGTGTGTTCCACTGTTCCTCAGGTCCCAGAGAACCCTTGTCAGTAGGCTCTGTGGGTTGCCTGATTTCCTTCCTTGATTGGATCTGTCCTTTGTCGCTTGTCCGGAATCGCCCCTGTTATTGCCTTCATGTTGTTGGTGACTCTGTTCTGGAAGCAAGAGGCAGATGTCAGCCTCCCCAGCTCAGTCACCAGCCTGGGACACCTGCTCTCTTGTGCTTCCGGGGATGCAGCCAAGGAGACATCATCAGGAGGGTGGGGATGGATGGAGCCTGTGAACGCTATTGTTTCTCCTTCCTGGTTCTTCCTGAGGGAAATGTTCCAAAGTCATGGAGCAGATCTGAGGAAGGCTACGGGCAAGAACTGGCAGTGACTAATCCGTTTGAGGCGGCCTGGCCCACCTGTGAGGCCCTGGCTTGGGGATTAGAGAAGAGTGGGGAGAAGCTTCTGGAATCCGTTGAAATGCCTGGGGGTATAGGTTCCCTGCCACTCTGCTTGAAACAGAACCTCTTGGGGCACCTGGGTGGCTCAGTGGGTTAAGCCTCTGCCTTTGGCTCAGGTCATGATCTCAGGGTCCTGGGATCGAGCCCCGCATCGGGCTCTCTGCTCAGCGGTGAGCCTGCTTCCCTCTCTCTCTGCCTGCCTCTCTGCCTACCTGTGATCTCTCTCTCTCTCTCTGTCAAATGAATAAAAATTAAAAAAAAAAAGAAAAGAAACAGAACCTCTCTTCCGTTTCCCTCTTGGCTCACCGAGTCACTGGCTGGATGAGTTACTAGGGTAACAGGTGTAAGTCAGGTGTGTCTGCATTTCCACCTGATAGGACAGAAGGGAGAGTCCATGAATGCAGACTGACGCGGGCACCAGTCTTTGCAAAGTCTTCAAGATGGACGAGACCACCACGAGTATCAGTGGCAATTGCTTACATGGACTGAGTTCTTGCTCACCAGGTTCCCCGCAAGGGAGATAGTGATCTCCCTCATTTTACTCGGGCAGATAGAGGCCAGGAGAGGGGGTGGTCAGCTACCGCATAGCACATGGTGAGTCGGCCACGGGACAGTTTCCAGCCCAGGTGTGAAGGGCTGGAGCTTTCTGTGTGGCCCTGGGTGGGCATGTAAGGAGCATAGGGACGTTCATAGGCCCCATTCAGGCTTCACCCTGCCACGTGCATCTCCTTGACCCTGGCAGTCCTGGGTCCCAGTTCAGGAAATGTTGCTTAAGTCACGTTGCTTAAGCCGTAAGAACAGTCCTGGGCAGTGTAGTTCTGCTCAGTAAAGATAGAAAACATATAGCCGAGAAAATCAGCAGGCACACAGCTGAGATGGAGAGGCCGAAGCAGATGCGGAAGCCAAGCGGCAGCCACACTTGTCCTGCACGTAGGTGTGAGGGTGATGGGAAGGCACGCAGGGAACGCGACAAGAGCACACCTGCCCAGCGGAGCCCGAGGTTTGGGGAGCTAGACAGAACCAGGTTACACAGAGCCTTTGTTCCTGTGCTCTGCGCTGGTGCTTGTCCCCGCCCTCCCCCAGGACCTTGGGCTCATCCCACTCCCTGCCCTGCAGGGCAGCACCAGCACCCCGAGTGTCCCACAGAGGGCAGCAGTGGCCTTGTACCTTTGTTCCTGGCTGCCTTGGACCTGGGGCTGCCTGTGACCCAGGGCTGGCGCGTTTTGGGTGGGGGTGGGGCTCTGTAATCGTCCTCCAGGCAGACAAACTAACACAGCTCAGAGAAGAGGGGTCAGAGGAGATGTGGGTGCCTGGGCCGGGGATCTCGGGGTTGGGGTTGCCCTGTCTGTCCCCTTTCTCCTCTGCCGATCCTGTCTCTCACTGTGAGTCTGTCTGCCTCTCTCTGTCCTTGTCCTACCTCTGTCTGTCTTGTTTCCCTCTGCGTGTCTCTTTTTGCCTCCCTGGCCTGGTCCTGGGACCCGCAGGCCTGGTGGGCTGAGCCTGTGACGGAGCGGCCGGCGGCGTAGGGGTCCGAACAGAGGCGCTGCGACCTCGTCCAGCAAGTGACTCGGTTGCAGTATCTGTCCCTGGGCAGGGATTATCATACTGCCTGTCCCCTAGCTCCGCGCTGTGACTGTGGGCGGGAGCACATGTGGGTCCGCTGAGCCCTGGAGACATGTATTAGTTACATGTGAGGGAGTCAGGTGGCTCGATATGTCCAGCCTTCAGGGACCAAGCGAGGCCACCGCCCTGGGTTCCAGTCCTTAACAGGTGACTTCGGTCTTCCGCAGTGTTCAGTGGGTGTCACTCCTTAGCTGTGGCCCCAGGCGGTCCTTTGTGATTTCTTCTGAGACTGATGTTGTCTGGGCGGCTGGGAAAGAGGCTCAGGGCCAGCCTGAATGAGAGGTGTGCGGCTCCCTGGCCAACATGGGGAGGGGAGACGGGGCCTGTCCCCGCTGGAGGCTGCAGCAACATGAGGAAGCCTTTGTCGAGGCCCTTCTGCTGCCCACCACTGTCTCGCGCCACCCAGGGGTCAATGCCTGTGGTCGTCCTTCGGGGACGTGTGTCCGAGCCCTGTTGGCCAGCTCGGAACCGTGCCTTCTGGGTCACGCAGCCCAGGGATCCTCAGCTGTGGCCCTGGCTGCTCCCCTGGGCCTCCTGGGCCCTTGTGCGTGCTTCCATGGGTGACCCTCCCCAGGGGTCCGGGAGCCCACGGCTGACCCTGCCTGTGCCCTCCCCGCCCCAGGTTGGATCCATGCGGTCTACACCCCTGTAGACTCTCTGGTATTTGGCGGAAACATCCTGCACAGCTTTAACGTGCCCATGCAGCTGCGGATCTACGAGATCGAGGACAGAACACGGGTAAGGTGGCTTCCTTCTCTCCTGGCAGGATTGCCCAAGCCCCTGAGCCCTGCTTGGTGCTCAGGGTGTGTGGGGGTGAGTCGTTCCAAAGTCCTCCGTGGTTCCCCCCTCCCTCCCATCCCCTGCCTCAAGCAGGGCCTTGGCTGTAAGAGCCCCACCCAGAGCCCCTGGAGTTTCTGTTCATCTCCAGGCCAGTGGTGGCCAAAACCCCCTCGTCAAAGAGGAAGCATCTAGTGAGGAAACGCTGTGAGATACTGGGAACCCTGCCTCTTCCTTCTTCTCGGGTGTAGACAGGGATGCACAGGAGTTGGGGGGGGGATTTTGGGGTGGTTATGGCTGTGGTTCAGAGGGGAGCTTAGAAAGGTCAGCTCTTGGCCCCCAAATGTGATATCACGCCCCGAGGAAGCCAGTATCTGTATGGTCTCTGAGCTCTGACCCCATGTCTGCTTGCAGGCGGCGGGGGAGGGGCTTTTCCTTGTGACTGTGACGGTCACAGCTTCTCAGACATAGGGTCTCCCCCACCCCCACCCCCCAGGACCGGGACTGAGGCTGAGACACCTGACGTGTGCCCCGTGTGCCCTCCACGTCGCTCCATTCCACGAGCTTCCCCTGGGGAGCACTGGCTGCTCGCGTCTACACCCTCTTTCCCACTGTGGAGCTGGGCCAAGGGTCCCAAGGCAGTTGAGAGGCAGATCTGAGGGTGGGAAACTGGGGTCAAGAGGGCCCCTTCTTTCTCCTTTTTTCTTACAGTTGTTCACATATTGTCTTTTTTTCTGTTGAGCTATAACACGCATAGCACATGAGCAACCAGTTACGCTGTGCAACTCCGCGGGATTTAGCCCATCCACAGCCTTGTGCAGCTACCGCCTCTAACTCAAGGACATTCTCATCACCCCGGAAGGAAACCCCCTACTCATTAGCAGTCACCTTCCATAGCCACCCCTCTCCCCCCACAAGCCTGTGGCAACCAACAGTCTGCTTTCTGCCTCCACAGATTGGCCTGTCACTGGACGTCGCACAGACATGGGATCCTGTACTGTGTCCTTTCGTGATTAGTTTCTGTCACTTCTCACTTCTGTCTTCGGGGTTCATCCGCGATGTAGCCGGGGTCATTGCTTCATCCCTTTTTACGGCTGAGTCACAGTTCTCGTGTGGACGGACCACACCACATCTTCTTGGGTTTTGCCTCAGAGGAGGCTTTTTTGCCCCAGAGAGGTGTCGTGGTGTCTGGACTCTGCAGAAGCATTCCCTCGAGGCAGATGCCCTGGGCCCACGGTCCCCTCCTTTCTTGGTCTAGTTTCTAGGCCCTGGGCTGCCAGAATCACATACGTGAACCAGAACTTAGCTACTGTGTTGTGTCTGACTTCTCGAACCGTCCTGATGGCATTGAGGGACCGTGTCTGGGGATTTCCTGGGAACAACTCTGAGCTCTGTTCAGTGGTCAGGTTGTCCTCCCAGAGCAACTGTGCGTCTTCAGTGATGGGTTTGCTGCTGGGTCTGCAGAGACTGGGTCTTGTTTTGTGGATTTTCGCACCTCTTTTCTCTGTTGCCCGCCCACCATTCCTTTCCAGGTCTGGGGGAGGCCGCCCTGTGGCACCCTGGGTGTGAGTGGTCATCCCATAGTCTGGGTCAAGTAATGTCTGGGGCTTCGGCCAGCTGTTCCCTGGCCAGCCCTGAAGAATGGGCCAGTTTGTGTTATGAGCAGACTAGGGAGTATGGGATAAAAAAGGAGAAATCCAGAAGTGAGGCCCATGACTTTCCAGCTTTTCAATTCCTGAAAGCCAGAATCGGGCTGGGATTTCTAAAGCCTTTGGCAACTTGCTTGGCAGCTGTCCCCCTCCCCCAGGGAATCCGGATTGTCCGTCTCAGTGGATTTGGGCCCCATCCTTCCATCAGGAGTCCAGCTCCCCTCCCCTGCTCGGAGGGAGGGAGGAGGGAGGGTAATAGTGTGGAACCCCGGCATCACACTGAGCGCTCAGAGACTCTCAGGTCCATGTTGAGATGAGCACGGCAGGGTCCCCTCCCCCAAGGCCCACTCTCCCTGTCATCTGAGTGGGCGCCCCATCTGGTTTCCCTGAAGCAGGTTGCTGGCGGGCGGGGGGCTGGCGGGCAGGCTGGGCTGGAAGCAGCGGCAGGCTGTTTAATCTGCTTTGATTTTTGGTCTTTGGAGAGGGCTTGGCTACAGGGCCCAATTGTTTATGTCTTAGGAGCCAAGGCAGACAAAAGATGCTGGGGAGAGAGCACTGGAAGCCAGATAAAATGCCAGGGCTCCTTGTCAGCTCGCTACAGCTTAATTCCTTACATCCCTGTGAGCTTTCTTAAGAAGGTTATGGCCATTTAAAAATAGTTTTTCAAGAGTCCCTAAAACGGGGCTTTGCTTGGAAACCAAAGGCAGGGGGTGGGACAGGAAACTGTCAGTCTTTAAGCCCCGTGGTGTGGATTTGTCTTAGAAAAAGAATTTGCCTTTGTGGCCCAAGAGGGGGATCTCCCCCTCCCATCCAGACCAGGGGAACCCCAATGGTCTCCTATGTTTAGGAAGCTGCGTCTCGCTCGCTAGGATTTTAATTTGGGCGGGGGGTGGTGGGTGATACTGCCGCTGGGGCCCTGCCCTTCCCCGGGCCTGGTGGTTTCCAGTGTGTAGACACCCACACGTGTCTTCCCCTATGCAGAGTAAACCCTCTCATTGTAAAGATGCGGGGGGTGGGGGAGGAGCTACACCAAGGACCGGATGTGTTGCATGTTTATTATGTGAAGAGAAGGTCTCAACATATTTGAGACCTTCTATCACTACATATTTTTAACGCCAGTTAGCTTGATAAGGGACAGGGATGGTCCAGTTGATCATTAATTAAACTGCCGTCTCTCTTATGTTTATCTTTTTTTCCCCCCAATGGCTCTAGTGAAGGCAGCTTTCTCAGGAAAGGTAACGCCGCACGCTCCATTCCGTCTCAGCCAGTGAATCTATTTGGAAATTGCAAATAATTTTCCCTTCCTCTCCTCTTTTCCTCCGCCATTGGATTTTTTTTTTTTCCCATTGACTTTTTTTTTTTTTCCAGGAGAAAAACAAATTTTAAGATACTTCCACCCACCCTCATATTTTAGTTTTTCAAGTCCCCTGAGACCTGGGAGTTCTGAATGCACCAAAACGCCTTTGGTTCTGATCTCCCGAGGTCGCTCAGCTGTAAGAGGAAGGGCTAAGGCCAAGTGCTACTCGCAGGGGCCTTTGGGAACTCAAAGCTACCCTTGAGATCGGCTCATAGACTGATCACCCCCCAGGCTGGGAGCGCTGCATGCTTTTTGAACTGCCTTGCCTTTTGGTGAACAACTCAATTTGGTGAGGCTCCGAATTTGTCAACAAATAATGTTGAGCAATCGTGTGTTTAATGTTCCCAGGCATGTGGCTGAGACCTTTTGAAGGCGAAGGGTGGAAGGCGACAACCCGTTTGTAAGTCAATTCTTTGCCCATTTTGTTTCCTGCCGTGCTCTCTTGGAAAAAAAAAAATAAAAATAAAAGAAAAAATTTGAATTCCTTCATCAGCATTTGTTTTCACCCAGCTGGTTTCCCTTGGGTTCAGCAACAATGAGGGGAGACTTCTCTTCCTCTCCTGATAGACAGCCAAAAAATATATTTTTTTCCTGATCTAGAAAAAGTCTCAGGCGCCGTGGTGCCCTGCCATGTGGAGTGGCTCGCACGGTTTCCCAAAATTTGAAAGGTCAAAAGCAACTTCAGAGTCTTACCAATCAAATCTGAAGTCAGGAGATGGGAGTAAGGGTCCGTCCGAGAAGAGGCGGGCTTGCCTGTCCTCAGCCTGCTCTGTAGGTATTGGCAATTGCTTTCAAAGTTTCTTGGTCCTTGCTCTGGAGCAGGGGTAGGGCTGAGGTTCCTGGACCCCTCCTCACAGGAGGTCAGGGTCTGTCTCAGTCTGAAGTGACCCTCTCCTTTTTAAACTCCGAAGGGCTGATTCAGTGACAGTGAAAAAGTATTACTACTATCCCAGCATTCAAACCAGGGTTCTCAGGAAAGTAGCTGGAGCCAAGGAAACCGCTAGATGTTCCCAACTCCATGCATCCCCCCGGAGGAGCTCAAAAGCATGCGGCGGCCAGGATCTCATTCCAGCACGTACTATCCACCAGAGGTGGGGAGGTCGAATGGACCCAATAAGCAGATGGGAGAAGTGAGACCACCCCAGACATGGGAAAAGGGCCTCACGGTTGAACACTGACTGAGTCAGCGAGGCCTGGGGTGGCCGGGGGACTGAGCTGGGACTCTCAGAGAGGGCAGAATTGGGGCCTTTTCCAGGTGGGGACTGTGAGAGAGGCAGGAGACTGGTATTTTAGGGCAAACAGAGGACTGAGGTCTGCTTGTTTTTGCCTTCATCCCACACGTAGAATGTTGCCTGTAGACTGTTGCGAGAAAGTTGGGACCTTGTCCTGGCTTAACGTTGAACTCCCTGGATTTCTGGAAGGTAGGAGAGGTGAAGAGGGGTCTCTGGCACCCGCAGAGATCCCCGGAGGCAGACACACCCTTGGCGAGAGGGCAGGAGAGCAGGTCTGGAGTGAGTGTGGACCTGTAGGATCTAGCTTTGGAAAAGAAGGCACAGTCCCTCTGGGGGAGACAGGGACTACCCACTCACTGCCCTCATTCCTCACTTACCCGCTCAGGATGAAGCTTCCGGAAGGTTCATCTGTGCGGGGCCGTCAGTGTAATTGCTTCCTTTGCCATCTTTCTCTGCCATCTCGTCCATATAGACCCCGCGCTTCCACCCATCAGAATTCTCTTGGAGCCCAGGCCTGGAGCCCCGGCCTTTTCACGGTTCTGATGCATAAAGCTCTCTGCACCTACACTTCCTCCCGTATAAGAAGTGGCCCGAAGGGGATCCCCATCTGGACCCCTGCTCCAGACCCGGGCGTGTGTCTCCTGGTGTTAGAGCCACCCCAGGTCACCCTGGGGACTTTTGACGGAGGGAATCCTCTGGGGATACAGACTGGGGAGTGCCAGGTGGTTGGTTGTCTGGGAGGAGCCGGAGGTGCAGGAGGTGGGACCCTCTAAGGCCCCGCCCCTGGAGGTAGGCGAGGCCACACCCCTCCCTCCTCATTGGTCCGTCCGGTGTTGCCTCCCTCCCAGAGTGCAGGAGATGCTTGATAGCAGGTCTGCGAATGGGTAAGGTTGGGGCGGGGGGGTGTCGATTTCTGTCTTTCAAGGGGTAGGGAGGGATAGCAGAGTCTGTTCAAGAATTTTTGAGAACAAGGAGGAGCCTGTGTTTGTTGTAGCTGGAATCAGGCTCACATCCGCAGGTACCCGCACCCTCCGTCAGCAGGTCAGGGGACAGCTGTTTCTCTGCATCTCACAGAAGCACAAAGCGGACCCCATCCGCCTTCCCCTGGCGGCCTGCATTTCAGGGAGCTTTGAAATGATGCTCTCACATAGGCCTCTTTCTCCCTTCTTCCTTCTCATTTGTGCATGCTACCGGTATCTTGCCCCTTCCAGCGCCTCTCTCCTGCCTTCTAGCCCGCCTCCCCCATTTTCCCCTCACACCATTTGTGCTCTTGTTAAGATGGTGAAAATAGCTCCCACCCGCAGAAACCCCCTCCCCCCTGTTTTCTCCCTTGGTTCTCCTTTGCCCTCCAGAAACTGACTTCCACCCCTGGGTCTTTGCTTTCAGGTGCAGCCCAAATTTCGCTACCCCTTCTACTATGAGATGTGCTGGTATGTCTTGGAAAGATACGTGTACTGTGTGACCCAACGGTCCTACCTCACTCAGGAATACCAGAGAGAATCAATGCTTATTGGTGAGTGAAATGTGGGCCCGGCCGCTTCCTCTGCTCAGCTGGGCAGGAAGAATGTTTTCAGTGTGGCCCTTGAGAGTCTCTACGTTTCTGGAATACTTTTGAGCCAGAGTGTTGGCCAGACTCCTAGAGACCCCTTAGGAGGGGAAGCCATCCTTGTCAACTTCCCATGTGGAATACAGAGTCCGAGAAAATGAAGTTGTGACCCCCGACAGAGTCACCTTGGTGGCCTCCCAGGTCTCGCTGGGGAACCAGTCCAAGGCGTGGTTGCTGAAACAGGATCCCTATGGAGCAAAGAATCCTGGTGGTTTTAGTCCTCCGTGGCCACCAGCTAGCTGATCCCCCAGCCCCAGCCCTCCCCCGCACCTAGGTTTGGGTTTTTGTCTCTATGGGAGCAGGCCCATGAGGTGCAGCCAGTCTCCAAAATCTGAGACCAAGCTTTGAGCTGGGGGGGAGGGGGGTGGTGACTAGGGTTGGAGACACAAACTTGGCAGAGCAGTGGGTGGTTCTGACAGAGGCAGGAGAGCCCTGCCTTACTGCCTTTACTTAAAGGGACATCACCCCTGAATGGCTCAGTCCTTGAGTCTTGACTCCTGGATACCCAGCTGACTTTGCCTCTAGCTCTGATTGCAAGCACCGAGGAACAATCTGGAAGAACACCCCCCCAAACTCCCCGCCTCTGAGCTCTTCCTGCTGAGGGGTTTCCCGGGGCAGAGTTTGTTGAGACTCATTCACTGCTTCTTTCTAGAAAAACACGATCAGTTTGTCTCCTTTAGGGTCTGCAATGGTTTCTCCTGCGATCCCCAGGATTTTTAGATTTTTTTTTTTTCTCACTGTAAAAAAGCCTTTTTCCCTCCTTCCCTGTCATCCTTAGTGACTCTTAGAGGTTTCAGACTGGGCATATGATGGAGAGCAAATGTTTCCGCTGAGCTCTTTATAGGGAAGTGCTTATTTCCCTCCTAGAAATTCAGTTTTGCCTGGGGGAGTCTCTTGTGAGTCTCCGACATGTCAGATGTGCAATATTCGGGTGTTGAGAAGTCCTGAAACCTCACAGCCTGCTTTCCGGAAGCTCCCAGCCTGGTAGGGAATGGGAAATTAGTCTGAAATAATGGGGCGACCCCTGTGGTTGTAGTAGCTTACACATTCCTGTGGGGGTCAGAGGCTTGATTTTGTGGCTGTCCTCAGGACCAGGAAACGGAGAGTCGCTTCTCTCATTTGGATATTTAGGGCTGTAGGAGAACGTTCCCGATTCCGTTCGCAGGCACAAGAAGAAAGCTTGAGGCAGCATTGGGGTCATTGAAATTGCTTGTCTGTTCCCCCCACTCCGCCTCACTGCTTCTCCCGCCAAAGTAAAGCGGCGACATCAGGGCAATGGCTCGTGTATCCAGTACTGGTTGCGTGCTAGGACCGTGCTCAGTGATGCCTTAGCCGATCCTCGCCGCGGGCGTTCCGAGGAAGCCTTTTTTTTGCCCTATATTTTTAAAAAACAGCATTATTGGGATATTGTCCCCATATCATACAATTTAATGTGTAGAACTCAGTGGTTTTTTTTGCATATTCCCAGAGCTGGGTGACCATCACCAGTCGATTTGGGATCGTTTTCTTTACCCCAGAAAGAAACCTGTACCCTTGTGTTAGAGCCTTCTCTTCCCCACCAGCCTAGGCGCCCACTAATTTATTTTCTGGCTCTACAGATTTCCCCCTGTTCCGGACACTTCATGTGACTGGAATCCTTTTGTTATATATGAGTTTTGGATCTTATTCTTATTTTTTTTAAAGATGTTTATTTATTTATTTATATGACAGAGAGAGAGAGATCACCAGTAGGTAGAGCATCGGGGAGAAGGAGAAATAAGCTCACCGCTGAGCAGAGAGCCCGATGTAGGCAGGGCTGCATCCCAGGACCTTGGGATTGTGACCCGAGCTAAGGCAGACACCTAACCAACTGAGCCACCCAGGCGCCCCTGGCCTTATTTTTATATGTTGAAAAATAAAATGCCGGGGGTATTCAGAGAGGTAGAGCAACCTGTCTGAGGACACACAGCTAGGAAGAAACCGAGCTGGGATTTGATCCTATGTCTGGCTGAGCCCAGCCTTTCTAGAGGCGGAGGGAGACATAGACCATGAGAAATGTCCAAAGAAGCTTGATGTCCAGAGTAGAGGGGAGGTATAGTGTGTGGACGTTCCAGGGCCTTCCAGCAGGGAGTCTGGGGCGTTCATCTCAGTCTTTCCTGTGACCCTTATGCTCCCCATAGATGCCCCGAGAAAGCCCAGCATAGACGGCTTCTCATCTGATTCCTGGCTGGAGATGGAGGAGGAGTCCTGTGAGCAGCAGCCTCAAGAGGAAGAGAAGGAGGAGGAGGAGGAGGAGGAGGAAGAGGAGGAGGGTGCAGAGAAGGTGCCCAAGCCACCTGCCGATGGCCCCCCGTCGCCCTCCAGCACCCCCTCAGAGGACCAGGAGGCCCCCGGGAAGAAGCCGAAAGCACCTGCTCTGCGATTCCTCCAAAGGACTTTGTCTAACGAGTCAGAGGAAAGTGTGAAGTCCACGACGGTGCCCACCGACTACCCCAAGACGCCCACCGGCTCCCCTGCCGCGGGGGTCTCCGCCAAGTGGACCCACCTCACTGAGTTTGAGTTGAAGGGCCTGAAAGCGCTGGTGGAGAAACTGGAATCCCTCCCAGAGAACAAGAAGTGTGTCCCTGAGGGCATCGAGGACCCCCAGGCACTCCTGGAGGGTGTGAAGGTGGGCAGGCGGTCGCATCTGGGCAAGGGCAGCTGAGAAGGTCCGGATGGGTTCCCAGGGGCATCTCAGCTCAGGGCAGCTCGGTGCAGACTGTTCGGGTGTATGCCTGTGCACGGAGAGGGGCTTCTGGTCCAAGCAAGCCTGCCTAGGCCTCCCAAGCTGAGGCCGCTGTTGAGAACTAAAGGGGAAGCTGCCTCTGTGGTTGGCAAGGAGTTCTTCCTCAGCAGTTGTGGAAAATCTTGAGGCTTTGCTAGCAGTGGGCATTATGGATGTGCCCATAGTGCTGCTGTTAGGTCTGGGGACAGACCTCTCCGTCCTGCTCAGGAAGACTCGCTGTTCTGGGCTGGCTTCCCCTGGGGCACGCACCTGTTTCATAGGAGCAGGTTGTACCTCCAGGTGGTCCACTAGGTGGCCCGCTAAGGTGGGGCACGTAGCCACCTGTGGTTCAGAGGTCTCTAAGTAGAGCCCAACTACCAAGCAGATGTTCAGGGAGCAGCATCTGGGCTGGCCACTGGGGGAACAGGAAGCAGGAGGGCACAGTCACTGCCCTCAGGCAGCTCACCAGTTATCGGGAGTGGAAGACACTCATCAGCCACACTGGGTGCTAGGGCTCTGGGACATTTATGCAGAGGGCATTTGGTTTGGGTTTTAGAGGCTGCATAGGAGTTCTCAGGATGGGCAAGGCTGTTACAAGCAGAGTGCAAACGTGCAGTGTGTGTATTTCCCAGGAAATACACAGAGAGGCCTTCCCCTCTAGTAATTGTCATCATAACATTTGTTGAAAACTCACTACTGGTCAGGTAGCAGCGCTGGGCAAGGTACCTACCTGAGTTACCTGCCCTTAACCGACGTGGAAGTAGGTTCAGAGAGGGTAAAGGATATGCCCGAGGTGACAGAGCAGGTAAATGCAGGGAGCTGGGATGAGGACCCCGGACCGCCATCAGGCGGCCTGACAAGGGCCACCAACAGAGGAAGGCGGCGTACAAAATCATTAATCCAGAGGTGTTTTACTTTATTTAGAAGGTGTGCCCTTCCGGGCGCTGGGAAGTGAAAAATATCATAATGGGACGGGGAGGGGGGTGCAGATCGCCAGATAAAAGAACTCTGTGGTGACCATTCCCATAAAGCCAATCTTTACTTGCTTTGGGTTCTTTTCATTGACTCTTGACTTTTTTGGAGGTCACTGATCTCTCTTGAGAGTTCTAGGAAAATGTGCTTATACACACAAAATTTTGCATGCTGGCCCAAGGGGTCTTAGACTTCCGAGCCTGTTCCTGGACCGCAGGTTCAGAATGCCTGATCTCATGGCTTGGAGTTTTGTATGTTAAGTTTCCTTTTTTTTTTTTTTTTTTAAGATTTTATTTATTTATTTGACAGAGATCACAAGTAGGCAGAGAGGCAGGCAGAGAGAAAGGAGGAAGCAGGCTCCCCGCTGAGCAGAGAGCCCGATGTGGGGCTCGATCCCAGGACCCTGGGAACATGACCTGAGCTGAAGGCAGAGGCTTTAACCCACTGAGCCACCCAGGTGCCCCTGTATGTTAAGTTTCCTAAAGGAAACCTTAGAATTCTGTCCTGAGGCTCCTTTTTTCTTCAGAGGTCCTTTAAAGTAAAAACAGGGAGTTTTCATCAATAACAAAACCATTAATAGTATTGGGACCCCAGAATGTTATAAGTGAATTAAAAACACATGCATCAGGTGCCTGGGTGGCTCAGTGGGTTAAGCCGCTGCCTTCGGCTCAGGTTATGATCTCGGGGTCCTGGAATCGAGTCCCACATCGGGCTCTCTGCTCAGCAGGGAGCCTGCTTCCCTCTCTCTGCCTACTTCTCTGTCTACTTGTGATCTCTCTCTGTCAAATAAATAAATAAAATCTTTAGAAAAAAGAAAAAAAAAAACACATGCATCTTATGAGGAAGTGTTCTGTGCTGTGGAAAGCTCTTTTTTCCTTTAAAAGCTTCTTTGTGTCTCTGATCTGTTTGTGTGTAGTGTTCCTGGTTCCTGGTTGATCAGATTTCTTTCTTTTTTTCTTTTTTGATCAAGTTTCTTTCTGGGGATAGAACTTGGCCCCTCCAGCCTCCCCTAGACCCACCTGATGGGCCCTGACGCTGGATTCAGCCTAGGCCCGTTGATGGTGTGGACGAGGGTTGGGGGTGGGGAGCCCAGTCTCCTCCCTCTTGTCCTCACCGCGGGGTTCAATGGCAGGTTGTGAGAAGGCATTTCAGTGGCTTTGTGGTCTCACAGGTGTTTTCCATCTATAAACTCATTTAAACCTCCCGACAACCCTTGGTAGTACTTTTATGATCCTCATTTTGCAGATGAGAAAATTAATGTACGGATAGGTTAAGTGATTTGCGCAACATGTGCTGCTCAATGGGGGAGGCCTTGTGCTCACCCCCTACACCGTACTGCCTTGTTGGGCTGCTGTAGAGACATGTTCTCTCTTCTCAGAGACCATCCTACATTTCGGGAGAAAGTAGGAAGGGGATTGCTTTGGCTTTCTTCATAGAGCAAGCAACAGATCTGGCCTTGGAACAGAGGATGTATATTGGCAGTCCCCGGCCAAATCCAGTCTCTAGGCATTATGTTTGGCCTGCACAGTATTAAACATATTTTTGTAATTACTTGCCAACATTAAAATATCAAAATGGCAAAAAAAAAAAAAAAAATCCTAGCTATCCTGGCCCGTGTTCCTGACAGGCTCCAAGCAGCAGGAAGGTGAGTAGCAGCTGACCTCATACACCCCAATCCTCACCACTCCCTACTGCCTCCCTGAGTGTGTATATATTATTAGACTCACACATCTCTTTTTCATCTAATCTATCTCACTTATTGAACTTAGCTATCTCTCTTTCTTCTTTTTCTAAGACACCAGAAGAGATGATTTATTGTACACGTGTTATATTCAGCCACAAAAGAAAACAGAATTAGTCCCGAAAGTCACAGGCCCAGGGCAGAAGGCCCAAAAGGGCTATTTTTTGTTATGAGCAAGGTGGGTCTTTCAGTCCCGAAAGTCACAGGCCCAGGGCAGAAGGCCCAAAAGGGCTATTTTTTGTTATGAGCAAGGTGGGTCTTTCAGTGGTGGTCATTGTGATCAGATGGCAGTTGGGTGTTCTAGGTCCATTGACTCAAGTTCTACAAAGTAGACATGCTGTTCAACAGTTTGTACCACGTCACTGGCCTCTGGCTTTCCTTATTTCTGCTCCCGTGGCTTCTGTGGATGCCCAAGGCTTTACTAGGAGCTTTACTAGGACCTCTCTGTCTCATCTTTTCCCCTTCAGCCTGCGCATTCCCTTCTTTCTCCACTTGGCTGTCATGGCGTGGAAGTTTCCAGAAGATGGCGCTAAGGCCAAAAGAGCCCCAGTTCGCCTATCCTCCGAGAAATGTCTGTTCTTGAGCCGTGTCTGGGGAGGTCTTTTTTAGCTTAAAGACCTCGTAAATTGGGTAAACAAGTGTCCTTAGAACCCCAGGAGAACTGGAGGGTCTGCTCATGTCTCTAAATGCTGTGTGGCCAGGGGTCTGTGTAGGGGAGGTGGGCCAAATGTCTCTTCTGGAACAGGAGGGTTCTTGGCTGTGCAGCTTGGCCATGAGCCCCTCACGGTCTCTGGAGACCCAGAAGAGAGGTTGAACCCAAGACTGACCTTCAGAGTGAGAGTGTTGTCACAGAGAATGAGCAGCTTCGTCCTGGTTGCCTCTCTGTGCCTTGGCTCTCTCTCCTCAGATATTGGGGTTTTGCTTATACTGTCTGAGAAATAAAACACAGCTCAGGAATGTGGGTCCAGAGCAGAAATCTTAGCCAGCGCCTAGTGCTGTCACTACCATTGAGTGATTCCTGTTTCTGGCGGGTGGTGGTTCCCCCTTGGTGACTGACCAGTTGTAATCTTTGGTCTGCTGTGTATGGGGTGGCTAATGCTCACCAGAGGCCCTGGGATTGGAGACTGTCCCCAAAACAACTCAGTATCCAGATGGTTAGGTTTTGGCTTTAATCAAAAAACCATTTTGGGGGGACGCCTGGGTGTCTCAGGTGGTTGGGCATCTGCCTTCAGCTCAGGTCATGGTTTCAAGGTCCTGGAATCGAACCCCAGGTCCGGCGCCCAGCTCAACAGAGAGTCTGCTTCCTTCTCTCCTTCTGCTGCCTCCTGCTTGTGCTCTCTCTCTTTCTCTCTGAAATGAATAAATATAATAATGAAAATTTTTTTCCCTTCATTTGTAATATATTTTTAAAAATTTTTAAATTTTTAAAAGATTTTGTTTATGTGGGGCGCCTGGGTGGCTCAGTGGGTTGAGGCCTCTGCCTTTGGCTCGGGCCATGGTCTCGGGGTCCTGGGATCGAGCCCCGCATCGGGTTCTCTGCTCGGTGGGGAGCCTGCTTCCTCCCCTCTCTCTGCCTGCCTCTCTGCCTACTTGTGATTTGTCTGTCAAATAAATAAATAAAATCTTTAAAAAAGAAAAAGATTTTGTTTATGTATTTGACAGAGACACAGCGAAAGGGGGAACACAAACAGGGGGAGTGGGAGAGGGAGAAGCAGTCTCCCCTCTGAGCAGCGAGCCTGATGCAGGGCTTGGTCCCAGGACCTGGGATCATGACCTGAGCTGAAGGCAGATGCTTAACTGACAGAGCTACCCAGGCGCCCCTGTAATGTACTTTTTTAAAAACTGTGGTGAAATGCACATGACTCCATTTTGCTTTAAAAAAAAATTTTTTTTTTGCTTACTCGATCACCACTTTAGAATCTTTTTAAAAAATATTTTATTTATTCATTTTTTTCAAGAGAATATTAAATCATTTATTGATCACACACAATAATGGATGATACACAAGCTTTAATCCCATTTATAATTTTATCTGATATCATAATTCAATTTAGATATATTGCATAGGATGTGCCAACAATTGTATTAGATTTTATTTATTCATTTTTAACAGAAAGGGAGAGCAGCAGGCAGAATGGGAAGGAAAATCAGGCTCTCTGCTGAGCCAGGAACCAGATGTGGGACTCAATCC